ACCAAAGGTTAGCTGTGAATAAGTTGTGGCATACCGCAACAAATAAGCAGGCGCGAAAAAAGAGCGGCGACATTACTAGGGTGTGGTGGGTTTCAAGCTGGTCACCTGGCTTCTGTTTAAAAGCCACAAAAGCCCAACGACGGTGTCGTGACAGCGGTCGATGTGACTAGCCTTATAAAAAAATAAAGTTATTGACTGCCTCACTTCCGAGGCGATGGATTACTTCCTGCTGCCTTGCATTTTTGCACTTGGTTGTGCAAAGCCTTGAGGTGTACCCTAAAAATAAAAACGCCGAGTGACGCTGGGGACTTCTCTCGTACCAAACTCCTAGGTCACTTCATGATCATGTCTTCTACGGCAGCAATCACAGACATTTATGGAGCCGGATTATCCTTTCCAAGGGGCCAGCCGTAGTANCCGTAGTAAAGTAGAGTAAGTAGGAGCGAAGTGGCCTTTTAGACAAGATCGGATGCACTCAGTTTTCCAAACCGCAAGGTAAAATCACCTGCCAGGACCATATTATCTGAGCCGCGGCTCTGGAAATAGGTAAATAACACCTGTACAGACTATTCATGTAAAAGTTGAACTTGAAATTAAGGTTTTCCTCCGGTCTTCTCACACAACTATTCACATGAGCACAGTCACGATAAACAAGCAGTCTGTGCACGTTAAAAAGACTTGGTGGCTACAGGGGATTTTTCACGAAACCCCTCACGAATTTATCCGACCACATGATTGCCTTCTGCGTTGCAGAGCAAAAGATTTGAAGCACACAGTCACTACTAGCTAAAACTACGACCACAAATTTGCGATTGATTTGGAAATAGATACGCAGCTGGCCAAGAGTCACTTCACGGAAATTGAAACTATTCAAGAATGGGATAAAAAATACCAGCGATTCTTCTTGGGGGCCACGCTTTCACCGTGTGAATCAAAATTTGATGCTTCCACTCACACTGTGTCCCGAACTATAGTAACGACAGCTCCACCAGTCTGCCCGATTGTTCGGGGAAGGAAAAGAATGAATAGAGCTGGTCAGTTTGAACTCACCTTGTCTCCGGCCATCAAACGGAATGATTCGACCATTTGTTCCGCGGTATCGGCCTCAGATGTCTGTCTTGTCATGAAATGCATAAACGAGTCGAAAGTGACAAATCCGGTGCCATTCGGATCGACCGATTTCATGATTCGAGCAAAATCAGCCTCACCCTGATGTGTGTACATCAACCAGCGCGTGACATGGTACACAGCCGTGGATGGAAAAAGAGAGTGGAAAATAGTCACTTGATGAGAATATCGCACCAATAATTGAGAAATTAGGCGTTCCCTAAGTCGCAAGTACATAATTCCAGAAATTATTTGACAAAACAGGAGCTAGTCGATAATCTTTGGAGCCCTATCTGTTCAGAAATGGGAACGGAGGATATGAACATATAGGCATTTCAAATCGTATACTAACGTGTGTAACTGATTGCTATCATTCTCGACAGTCCTCTGGTTGGAGAGCACACAACTATGCAGCAACCTACTGATCTAATTGTGTTCCTGATTTATTGAAAACAATCGATCGTAAAACAATCATCTAAAATAGTAAAACGAATGGATAGAGTGAAAATCACAGATGAGAACGTAATCATGACATCCGCAGGATAGGGCGATCACGGCGATCCTCAACAGGGAAGCATCACGGAAACGGCCTGGATGACGGATTTCTAATTTTCACTGTTTAGGAGTCGTGTTACATCCTTCCAACGAAAGTTCGAGGAGAAATTGACTCATGGAACTCAGAACGGAAATGATAGGCAATGAAATTTGACTATTTAAGTCTCAAATATCATAGTTCAACTTTCCTCGGTTCCCTTGTACCCTAAATTTGCCGAATACGATTTGGTCATTGCATCAACCTTGTCTTTATTCAGAGAGAACGGTTGCTCTTTATGTTCACCCATAAAACAGGTGCATAGCAAGTATCCTTGTGTGGGAGACAACTAATGTCGTACAAATTGGCGTGCCCAAATCCGAGAGGATTGGTTCCGCGTTCACATTAGTCTTCAGATAGCCAGCTGACAATCCCTCTGCTTGGACTACACACCCATTTCACTTTCATCTTCGTTAAAATGTTTACACATTTGATCAGCAAAGGACACTCACTGTTCAGATGAAAACGCTATTCGGGGAACAAATACCCTTACCTAAGTTGGTTTAGCCATATGGTTTATTGACTGAGCCAGAGTTAAGGTTATTCTACTGTTGTTAAGCCGTTCATAAACTTTTGTGAGCAAGGCCTGAGAGTTCACGTTTCCACAAGTTCATCAGGGGTATATTCAAAAGCGAATTACCGTGTGTGTGTATGTGTGTGTGTGTGTGCACACACAACAGAGCGTAAATGCGAGTGCCACCCAATCCGGGGCACATTTTATCACTTGTTTCTGAGACAAAAGAAAACCCTACTCCTGTAAGCTACGTGATATATTGTAATCACATCAAAGAAAAAAAACCGGGGATGGAACCGTGCCAGTTGTATGAGAGAAGCATACTCTTGATCTGGTGGTGCACATTGGACCAGTGCGTGTGTGTGTGCATGTGTGTGTCGCATGCCACAGACACTTTGTCGTCCTAGTCCATTTTTAGACCGTTGACATTTTCGCTCCCCGAACTGTCCCAGTGGTTCAATAAGGCGTCAATGGCTTGCGTGTGTGTGTGTGTGTGTGGACGATGTAAAAAGCGATTCAAGGACGAATGGAATTTAATGCATGGTCCGGTTCATGACCAGAGGAATGAGCGTGCCATGTATCCAATAGGAATGGAAATATGTGACATTAGTGACGCGACAGAAGTATTATTATTCGTAAAGCGATTGTTTGGGGTAAATTCGAGGGGAATAATTATGAATGACGTGAATAAGGAAATCACAGTTTGATTACAAAAATGAAATTGATACGGAACTGCTTGATTTTGTGGATCGCTACAGTGCTCTGTGAACTGCACGCATTACTCGATCTTCTATAGGTCATTGAAATTTATTTCACAGTTTCTTTTGAGTAGTGATGTGAGTTAGATGGGAATTGGCAATTAAGGCTGGTAGGTTTGCGGAAAGTTAGTCCGTTACTTGCATGGAAGTCCTGCCCTGATCGGAGTCTTTCGATTGGAGTTAACAGATTGTCATCTGTGTCTCCCTTCGTTGCTACTGGGCCAGGTGAACTGACTGACTATCACTGAAGGCGACACGTGAACAAAAATGCATTTGCAATTTGGTTCAGTCATGGCATGAGCTGGTGCGCACAATGGTAACACACACCTTCTACAGACCACTTTATGCATTGCCTTACCCTCGGTAAACCACAGTGTTATATGACTAGTCAACAGGGGCCACATCATCATTTTTATTAAAGCAGGGTGATTTTGTTTCGATCTAAGGTGACCCCCAAAGTAACCACTTCATTTCCAGATCGTATTTTTATATTTTGGCTACTTGCATGTGTGCATCGCGGCGTCGGGTGAAAGGAGCAAAGGATGCCATAAAAATTTCAACTGTGCAGTAAAATTCCAAGAGATAAATTCGTACAAAGATCTTTGCCTTACGTGATACTGTGTGGTCAGACTGACAGATAGATGCACATCGTTGTGTTTCGCCATTTCACAAAACAATTGATAAATGCCAACTTCTTTTGTTCACGGTCAACCTAATTCTGGTAGGTTCAAACCAAATAAACACAACATAGTGTTCCTCTGAATTGTGTTCTGCAACCTTGTCGAATTCACAGTTATAATATAGGAACAATAAGATCAATCTAGCCAAGATAGGTCTCACCTATTTACTTTCCAGACAGGTGTTTTGATCACAGTATCAGTCAAATTCAAAGACGCACACAATTCACTCAAATTGAGGTAAAGCTCATTCATGACACAGGAATAATACGGATGATTAAGCGGTTAGTGTGAGTCGCTACGCCATTTGATCTCTTTCAGTGTGCGTGTGAACGTATGAGGGAGAGTGCGGGGGCGGGTGCTGGTACAAAGACAATGATTTTCACTGTGGTTTTTGGTGAGTATGTGACAAAAGATGTATGCAGCTCGAGTGCTGAAAAGACCCTAGATCTGGACGTGATTCTCAACCAGGAGACCCGGCACGTAAGACATACAATGGACCGCAGTCTATTTATTGGCCAATTCACATCATTTTATCTATCCAATAAAAACGATTAAGAAAACAACATTAACAATCCCATCCAATCACTCTTCCATAATGGTTTATTGAAGTTTCCTTTCATTCTTATCGCGGACACCGAGGCTTTAGCTTGCTAGCATTGGTCTGTCCCTTGGTTCGGTAGATCAAAGCACAGTGCTCGACAGCCCGTCATACTCAGTGCGAGGGGGATATTCAGACAAGGTAAAAAAATATCGCCACCTCAACGGATGCAAACGATCTGTTTTCTCAGATTAGGAAACCACAGATTGCCATCCAAATATAGTGAAGGCATCCAGTACTGAAAGCACAAACCCATTCTTGCTTGTAGCAAACCAGGATGATATTTCGGTTTCAGCCGGAGATGTGAGTGTTGGCATAGGTTGGTTGTCTTAGAACGGGGCAAATCGTGGGAACCCGTTTAATCTTAAACCAGTTGGTTCGTAAAATAAGAACAACTGGAGGTTTCATGTGATAATCTCAAGCTATACCTCACCAGTATGAACGTCAGGTGTTCAAATTGCCGGTGCGCTAGTTAGTATTTTTCTGTTCGATTCAGCGACAGACACCAGAAATGGCCGGGTACCATAAAATATAGTTTATCGTACCCGAGTATTCCCCTAAATCAAACCACTCGTTGGTTAGCACTAATGTATCCATAGTCTTCGATGGAACTTCCACACGAACGACATAGCGATAGGCAATCCCAGCCAGTTAGCCAAACTATCTTCAAATACACTCAATAGATTAAAAGCCAGAAATAGCTCCATATGATAGCATTAACCAGGACTGATCGCTTATTAGGAATGTTATGTATTTCATTGACCTACTGAGTTATCTATTAAAATGATGCTCTGGATGTCCGCTGAGTATCTGCGCCCTGTTCTGGCACACCAATAAATCCCGTTTGACTTTAGGGGGGCTTGAACACAACTAAAGCGTTGGAAAACATCTTAAAATCTGGTTGTATCAAGTTTCGTCGGAGATGGTACAGGCTGAGACCAAGAGAAATTCCCGTAAATTATTCCATTTCATGAAGGTCATCGGTATAGGCGGAACGATGTGTGAAACTGGCTTCACGTCCATTGATAATCAGAAAAGCATAAGAACGTGCACGGTGAGACAGAAAACATTGTTGTTATTGTTATTGTTGATGTCCCTCATGATCCTTGTACACTGCTTTCCTTATTTTTGCCCACTACTACTCGACTTGCCTCGTTTGTATTTGCACTGCTTTTGTATCAACAACATGTTCCTGTAATGCAGCGCAATTCTCCCGCAATTGTTTCCCGTCATTCTGAAACAGGATTTGAGTCGCGTCTCATCTTTCTCTCTCCCTCCATCTGTCCGTCGATGATGGGGGCTGTTCACGGAAGTTGCCACACAACACCTTGATTATTGTTTGGCCTCATCCCGCACGATCCAACACATCCATTATTCGATGACCTATCATCCTATGCCTAATCACACGGCGTTGTGATACTTTTCGGCTAGCCGACATTTGTACAATGACTCCCGCTTACTTTGACTCGTTTTAGAAACTGAGCCGAACTCGTCTACTTCACTTCGTTCCTGACGAGTACAGAACTACACACCAAAATCGATCGTCCAGATTGCATTTCATGTTGCCATTAACCAAATTGTTCTCTGTGCATTACCTTCCGACATATTTAACCTATGTAAGAACATGAAATATAAGCATATCGGTTGCTCAAGTGTTCCATACAAACGAGAACTGATGATTACGTTGCAAAGTTTGGACGCAACAGCAGTGGCTTTGCCCGAGTCAGACGAGAATTGATTTCCCTATTGAAAGGATTTATTGCTTACTTTGCCTTCGCAGTCGGCTCAATTCTAAATCAAAGTAGGCTATTTGTAGAGCATTGTGTGCGTGGCTTCCACTCTGGATGCATGTAGTGCTACGTGGACAACGGTGTTCGAACACCATCAGATTATGTTTCTCCTGTTTTCGTGCCTGCTTTAGTAGATGTGGATAATTTGTGAAAAGTGTGTGAATGAATTCTCGATCCTACGAGGATCAAGTGTCGATCACTTTGGGGAAATGTGGGACTGAATTTAATAAAGAATCTGCTGGGCTTCTTGACAATTTCATTCTTGTGACGGAAGGCGGCGGGGGGGGG